TCTACACTCAATGGAAACCTTATTCTCCTTCAAGGAACCAAAATCACCATAAAAGCATCAAAATCTCAACAATGGGAGGGGAGAGTTTGGTTGGAGTGAAAGGGATGTGATGGAGTCTGAGGGTGTGCAAACCTTAGCCATCACATCCCTTAAGTAGAGCCTAAGGCCTGAAAAATTAGGGTTTTACATAAAGGTGGCTTCCACGTCGTGGCCAATATCTTTCCACATCGTGGCATCCAAAAAGAATATGTGTGTTATCTGGTGCCGCCACGTCGTGGTGATAACATCACCATGTTTTGGCCACCACAAATCTTGTATTTTTAAGCCTTAATCACCCACAACCACAAAGGTAATTATACTTGGAACTTGGTGTTACAATGTATATAATAAAGAGATATGAATTTGACTACCAACTCAAAAAAATTGAATGCACATGCATTAACATGGTGAACCACCAACTCATAAATTTGACTGCACATGCATTCTCAGAAGTGACATGAAAACATGGTTGCTGTTAGCATTAATATTATACAACCAAAAGTGACAAAATTTTAGAGAAAGTTTGACACCATAAAAAGTGTTTAGTTGCACATGCAGTAACCATCAAAATAGAAATTGTTCAAATAAACCACATGTAGTAACCTTCAAAATATAAATTCCACACACTGTTTAATTATTCCAGGTTGACTGGCTTTTCAGTGTTGCATCCTTCATCATTTTTGGGCATAACTCTTTTCGCAAGTTTATTTCTAGAATTCTTTCAAAGTCTTCCTCCTGGCAACAATTGGTGGCACTCTTCCCACTGCAGGTTGCTTCTCAACATTCTTATCATGTTCATTTGTTGGCTTATTGGAGCTCCATCCTTCACCATTCACACCTTTATTTGTAACATCCTCACTCACATCCATGGGTGCTTCTTTAGTCACATTTATTGACACACCACTCCTTTGACCTGATTTTCCTCCTTCACTCATCCATCATGACCACAATATGAAATTAGTGTTCTTCACTCATCCATGATCCCCTCAATATAAAGGTGCAAGCTCCTTTACTACACATGACAAAAAGCCTTTTGTTTTTTTTGTTTTTTTTTCAAATCACAGTTGGTACCTATTATGCACAACATAATTTCATAACATGCTCTTAAGTTATTCAAGGCTCTCAAATGTCATACCTAGAATTGGCTTTTGCTACTTCCATTGTAAATCAGGATTGAAAGTTGGATGGCCAAATTATCTTTATTCTCTTCCACCTCATCGTTTCTTTCATTTGAACACAACTTGTTGAGGAAGTCATCATCAGCAATCTTGTTTAGATTTACATTATTTCATATTCTAAACCAGTTTTTTGATGGTTCTTTGTACACCTTCACCTTGGATAATAGTACCAGTCTCATTTCTAGCTGAGTCCTCTCAACCGTCCTCGGTATGGTCAATGAAAATGGAAATTGGGATTTTTTGTTCTTCATAAGGTGTATAATGAAAATCGGCATATTCCAAATCATTTCCTATGGAACTAATACCAAGGACGATTCCGAAAGGAGTAGTAAAGTTCCTCAAATGCTTCTCTAGTTAATCTTTCTATTAAAGTTATACACTCACCATAATCCGTCCTAGAAAAATCCATATCTAGTAAATAAGAAATGATCACCTACAACATAAGGGCATGGATATGTAATAAAACACCGTTAAAGTTCACACCGATTTTCAAATAAATACCTCCATGATGTTCTTCACCTATGCAGTTCAAACTAACTCTAAAAAAAACACTAAGATCACAAAAATGTTCTTCGTGCCATTATGTCTCTTACACTTAGCCGAAACCCTAACTATAATCGAAGTTAAGAGTAAGAATTGTGTTGGTCTCGTTAAATATGAGGGAAAACCAATAGCCTTTCTCATTTAAGTTTTATGCACATGTGGAATTAGTTACGTTGAAGGATGCAACTTAGAAAACCTCCACATCAACGTATTTAAACGGTAAAGAATGGAGAATGAACATATTCCCTTAATAAAAGTGTATTATGTTAGTTAAATGAATTAAGAGGGTAAAAAATATTGGGTGACCAATTAAGGACAAAAGTGAAACTTCATAGGGTTTTCATTTCAACAACCCTAAATAAATTGATTGCTTTTTTATAAGACAAAAGACATGTTTTTCCACATTTTACAGAACATGTAAAAAAAAAAAGTAGCTTCAAAAATTAAAAATCGTTTCTAGCATTTAGCTTTTAAATTTTGAACTAATGTAAGTTGCAAACACATTTTGGCATATTCACCCTTTTCTTAGAGGCTGTTTGGATAGGGAAAGCTTATTGCTTATCTCTACCGATATAAGCTAAGTTTAAGTATTTGAATGTGAAACATTAAAAATCAACTTATTGTGGTGGGGATAAGCTAATTTTATTAAGCATCCCGTTTTGCTTATAGCTTATTGTTTATTTCTAATTTCTAATCCAAACACTTTTACAAAAGTGTAAATATTGATTATTTACGTTGGCTTTTTCATCCTTTTATTAGTCTTTGCTTTGGGTGGTTTTGTTGTAACGTAACAACACATTATATGATCCAAATTGCCATTCAAATAATTGAAGCAACTTTAAACTTTAAATATCCACTAAACGTTTCTCACACCACCTATGTGGGACTCAAGTTTTTGTGATAAAGACTATCACCAAAATTTTGCTTTCTAGCTTCTTGGTGGAAAAGCCCTGCTTTTACTAAGTTGCTGTTCAAAGACAATAATGTGGGTATGTGAAAGGACCTCCAACATCATTTCATTATGTGGATACAAAAGATCTTTAGAAGATATTGACATTGCAAATGTGTAAATCACAAATTTGCATCCAAAAATCACAAAACCATCATAATTGATTGGAATAATCTATACCTATAAAATTAATTAAATATATCAGGAAGGTTTAGAAGACAATTGATTGGAATAATCTAGACCTATAAAATTAATTAAATATATCAGGAAGGTACAGGTATCTGTGGGTACACAATTTGCATCCAAAAATCACAAAACCAAATGTAAATTCTAAGCACCCAAAGATAGGGGTGATATTGTATTTGTACCCCTATGTGGATCTACTTAATTTGAAATCTATATATATATATATTATATATATATATATATATATATATATATATATATATATATTATATATATATATATATATATTATATATATATATATATAACTAACTAACTAACTAAATCCTAATCTGTTTAAAAATAAAGTTGCTTTTAACCTTTTCTTTAATTATCTTCATAATGTTAGCATTTGACATTATTCAGATGTTCATGATAGAAAATTAATGACTAAAGATTTTAAGCTTTAGAACTAACGGCCCTGGAGGTGATAACAAAGATATGGATGAAATAAAGTTTCTAAATCTTCTTTTCACTTTGTTCATACCTTACAAGAATATTCCAGGAGCATTCATTTTTTATAGTCTCTTAAAGTAGCCATCACAATTGGCGCATCTTTAAAGTAACTTAATTAGTCATCCGGTAAATAACATTGATTAATGAAGTAAAGCACACTCCACTTCGCTTTGTATAATTGTATATGTTCCCTCTTGTCTTCACATAACAATTAATGTGTCCCATTTATTAAAAGATTGGAAGTTTTGCTGATTGATCAAGATCTTTTCATGGTAATTTTTCCAATCTCAAGTTCATGAAGTTGGATTCTTTTTTACCTTTTTTTTTTTTTTTTTTAAAATTTCAGTAAATTATAAAAATGGTCCCTGTGGTTATCTATTTTCCTTGAATCAAATCCCAAGTTTTCAATTTGGACACAGACCCTCCATCATATTTGTTTTTGTCACCAGAATGATCCCGACACGAAATTACCCTTCTATATATATATTATATATATATATATATATATATATATATATATATATATATATATATATATATATATATATATATATATATATATATTATATATATATATATACTATATATAAGAATGGCCCACAATCCAACCACCCTTCAGCCCTTCCCCTACCTTTCCCTACTCGTCTAACCAATACCACATTTCCAGGTATAGAGCTTCACTGAACAAAGATGGAGGTTTATGAAGATAATTATATAGTGATAGTTGGTGTGGAGTTAGCTGCTCTCAATACTGCCTTGACTCTTCACAGGTATTCAGATTCTACCATCTCTTTTGCATGCTTCACTCACTTGTACCCTGCAAATTATCCATTCAGTGTTATTTGGATAATCAATAAATATACAAACGATATTAAATTTTTATACTAACATTCACCTCCATGGAAGCGTCATAAACTTACAAGTGATTCATGCGTCTTCTTAGACACCATAGAGAAACCTCATTCATTCACCAGTGATTGAAGCAATTCGTAGGAGTTGGTTAGCCCAGAAGAGTAAAACGATGAAACCTCATTCCTTTGTGCTTTAGTTACTTGTACAGTACAGTATTTGAAGCAATGAGCCAATGAATAAGATTTGACCATGAAATAAGTTTTCCAGTTGTACGTTTTCTACTACAGAAGATGAATTCCGAAATTTTTTTAAATTACCATGGTATGTAATTTGAAACAATAGTAATGGATATCAGTTTGATTTTGGAACCAAGTATACACAGTTTCACATATAATCACTTTGATAGTTACATTTGCTTGACGATTAAACCTTTTAATTACAATTAATTGAAAAACAAATATAATTGTCTTCTTGCTGACACCTATAGCTAATTTCTTTATTAACCTTCAGGTTTTTCCAAAATTCTATGAGAAATACCATTAAAAGTTTAACACACTCCTTTTGGAAAAGTATGACAATGACTTCTCAGTACAGGTCACTCTCTGGAGAAATAAGGCATTGCCTAATTTTTATTTTATTTATTTATTTATTTTATTTTTTTTGACGAGGGAAAATAAAAAACAAGAGAAATGGTGGCTGAAGTATAAATTACGACATTCAAATCATCCTTTTTCAAAAACCAGCATTGCAAAGCAAATAATGTCTTCTTCAATCTTCTTATTTTTCTCACCAGCTCTACTAATCCTCACACTCTCCCCCATACCAAATTTTGCTTCTTCTTCTTTACAGGAAGCCAATGCTCTTCTTAAATGGAAAACAAGCCTTCAAATCCCAAACAATTCCTTGGTTTCTTCATGGATTTCCCTCCCTTTGAATTCCAGTGCATTAGTTCCATGCACTTCTTGGTTTGGAGTAGTTTGCAATGCTGATGGGAGCACTCAGAGGCTAAGCCTCAGTTCATGTGGCTTAAACGGTACACTCCACCAATTTCCATTCTCTTTGCTACACAATCTTACATATCTTGATCTCACTATAAACAACTTCTTTGGCCCCATCCCACAAGAAATCCGACTCCTCTCCAAACTTGTATATCTTGATTTTTCAGTGAATAAGTTTTCTGGAGTAATCCCACCTGAAATAGGAAACCTGCGCCAGCTAACCATCTTATGCATATATTCAAACAATATATCTGGCACAATTCCTTCATCATTGGGTAATTTGAAGTCTCTCACTAAGCTTAGTTTGAGTGGTAATCAACTTAGTGGTTCTATTCCGTCAACATTGGGTTATTTGACATCTTTGAATGTCCTTTATTTGTTCCGAAATCAACTCTCTGGTCCCATTCCTATTGAACTTGGGAATTTGAAGTCTCTCACTGATCTTGAGGTGAGCAACAATCTGCTTAATGGTTCCATTCCTTCATCATTGGGTAATTTAACATCTTTGAATGTCCTTTATTTGCACAACAATCAACTATCTGGTCCCATTCCTATTGAACTTGGGAATTTGAAGTCTCTCACTGATCTTGAGGTGAGCAACAATCAGCTTAATGGTTCCATTCCTTCATCATTGGGTGATTTGACATCTTTGAATGTCCTTTATTTGTACTACAATCAACTCTCTGGTCGCATTCCTATTGAACTTGGGAATTTGAAGTCTCTCACTAAGCTTAGTCTGAGTAACAATCAACTTAGTGGTTCTATTCCTTCATCATTGGGTGATTTGACATCTTTGAATGTCCTTTATTTGTTCCGAAATCAACTCTCTGGTCCCATTCCTATTGAGCTTGGGAATTTGAAGTCTCTCACTAATCTTGAGGTGGGCAACAATCAGCTTAATGGTTCCATTCCTTCATCATTGAGTGATTTGACATCTTTGAATGTCCTTTATTTGCACCACAATCAACTCTCTGGTCCCATTCCTATTGAACTTGGGAATTTGAAGTCTCTCACTAAGCTTGGTCTGAGTAACAATCAACTTAGTGGTTCTATTCCTTCATCATTGGGTTATTTGACATCTTTGAATGTCCTTTATTTGTACTACAATCAACTCTCTGGTCCCATTCCTATTGAACTTGGGAATTTGAAGTCTCTCACTGATCTTGAGGTGAGCAACAATCTGCTTAATGGTTCCATTCCTTCATCATTGGGTAATTTAACATCTTTGAATGTCCTTTATTTGCACCACAATCAACTCTCTGGTCCCATTCCTATTGAACTTGGGAATTTGAAGTCTCTCACTGATCTTGAGGTGAGCAACAATCAGCTGAATGGTTCCATTCCTTCATCATTGGGTGATTTGACATCTTTGAATGTCCTTTATTTCGACCAAAATCAACTCTCTGGTCCCATTCCTATTGAACTTGGGAATTTGAAGTCTCTCACTAAGCTTGGTCTGAGTAACAATCAACTTAGTGGTTCTATTCCTTCATCATTGGGTGATTTGACATCTTTGAATGTCCTTTATTTGTTCCGAAATCAACTCTCTGGTCCCATTCCTATTGAGCTTGGGAATTTGAAGTCTCTCACTAATCTTGAGGTGGGCAATAATCAGCTTAATGGTTCCATTCCTTCATCATTGGGTGATTTGACATCTTTGAATGTCCTTTATTTCGACGAAAATCAACTCTCTGGTCCCATTCCTATTGAACTTGGGAATTTGAAGTCTCTCACTAAGCTTGGTCTGAGTAACAATCAACTTAGTGGTTCTATTCCTTCATCATTGGGTGATTTGACATCTTTGAATGTCCTTTATTTGTTCCGAAATCAACTCTCTGGTCCCATTCCTATTGAGCTTGGGAATTTGAAGTCTCTCACTAATCTTGAGGTGGGCAACAATCAGCTTAATGGTTCCATTCCTTCATCATTGGGTGATTTGACATCTTTGAATGTCCTTTATTTGCACCACAATCAACTCTCTGGTCCCATTCCTATTGAACTTGGGAATTTGAAGTCTCTCACTAAGCTTGGTCTGAGTAACAATCAACTTAGTGGTTCTATTCCTTCATCATTGGGTGATTTGACATCTTTGAATGTCCTTTATTTGTTCCGAAATCAACTCTCTGGTCCCATTCCTATTGAGCTTGGGAATTTGAAGTCTCTCACTAATCTTGAGGTGGGCAACAATCAGCTTAATGGTTCCATTCCTTCATCATTGGGTGATTTGACATCTTTGAATGTCCTTTATTTGCACCACAATCAACTCTCTGGTCCCATTCCTATTGAACTTGGGAATTTGAAGTCTCTCACTAAGCTTGGTCTGAGTAACAATCAACTTAGTGGTTCTATTCCTTCATCATTGGGTGATTTGACATCTTTGAATGTCCTTTATTTGTTCCGAAATCAACTCTCTGGTCCCATTCCTATTGAGCTTGGGAATTTGAAGTCTCTCACTAATCTTGAGGTGGGCAACAATCAGCTTAATGGTTCCATTCCTTCATCATTGGGTGATTTGACATCTTTGAATGTCCTTTATTTCGACGAAAATCAACTCTCTGGTCCCATTCCTATTGAACTTGGGAATTTGAAGTCTCTCACTAAGCTTGGTCTGAGTAACAATCAACTTAGTGGTTCTATTCCTTCATCATTGGGTGATTTGACATCTTTGAATGTCCTTTATTTGTTCCGAAATCAACTCTCTGGTCCCATTCCTATTGAGCTTGGGAATTTGAAGTCTCTCACTAATCTTGAGGTGGGCAACAATCAGCTTAATGGTTCCATTCCTTCATCATTGGGTGATTTGACATCTTTGAATGTCCTTTATTTGCACCACAATCAACTCTCTGGTCCCATTCCTATTGAACTTGGGAATTTGAAGTCTCTCACTAAGCTTGGTCTGAGTAACAATCAACTTAGTGGTTCTATTCCTTCATCATTGGGTGATTTGACATCTTTGAATGTCCTTTATTTGTTCCGAAATCAACTCTCTGGTCCCATTCCTATTGAGCTTGGGAATTTGAAGTCTCTCACTAATCTTGAGGTGGGCAACAATCAGCTTAATGGTTCCATTCCTTCATCATTGGGTGATTTGACATCTTTGAATGTCCTTTATTTGCACCACAATCAACTCTCTGGTCCCATTCCTATTGAACTTGGGAATTTGAAGTCTCTCACTAAGCTTGGTCTGAGTAACAATCAACTTAGTGGTTCTATTCCTTCATCATTGGGTGATTTGACATCTTTGAATGTCCTTTATTTGTTCCGAAATCAACTCTCTGGTCCCATTCCTATTGAGCTTGGGAATTTGAAGTCTCTCACTAATCTTGAGGTGGGCAACAATCAGCTTAATGGTTCCATTCCTTCATCATTGGGTGATTTGACATCTTTGAATGTCCTTTATTTGCACCACAATCAACTCTCTGGTCCCATTCCTATTGAACTTGGGAATTTGAAGTCTCTCACTAAGCTTGGTCTGAGTAACAATCAACTTAGTGGTTCTATTCCTTCATCATTGGGTTATTTGACATCTTTGAATGTCCTTTATTTTTACTACAATCAACTCTCTGGTCCCATTCCTATTGAACTTGGGAATTTGAAGTCTCTCACTGATCTTGAGGTGGGCAACAATCAGCTTAATGGTTCCATTCCTTCATCATTGGGTGATTTGACATCTTTAAATGTCCTTTATTTCGACGAAAATCAACTGTCTGGTCCCATTCCTATTGAACTTGGCAATTTGAAGTCTCTCATTCGTCTTCAGGTTAGAGGGAATCAGCTTAGTGGTTCCATTCCTTCATCATTGGGTGATTTGACATCTTTAAATGTCCTTTATTTCGACGAAAATCAACTGTCTGGTCCCATTCCTATTGAACTTGGGAATTTGAAGTCTCTCACTAATCTTGGTTTGAGTGACAATCAACTTAGTGGTGCCATTCCTTCATCACTAGGAAACCTCAGCAAGCTACAGACTCTGTACCTTCACACAAATAAACTATTTGGTTCGATTCCACTAGGATTGGGAAGTCTAGAGACACTTGAGCTGTCAAATAATCATTTTTCTGGCCATTTACCAGTAGATTTGTGCCATGGGGGAAAGCTTCAGAAGTTCACAATAAATGCTAATCATCTCACTGGGCCTATTTCAAGAGGCTTACGGAATTGTCCCAGCTTAATTAGGGCTCATTTTGATCAAAATCAATTCATTGGAGTTATATCCAATAGCTTTGGCATCTATCCACGCTTAAAATATCTTGATATCAGTCACAATAATTTTCATGGGCAGCTTTCTCAAAACTGGAGTAAATGCAAGAATTTGACAGCCTTAATGATGGCATATAACAACATCAGTGGTAGCATACCACCAGAGTTTGGAAATTCAACTCAACTACAAAGGCTTGATCTTTCTTCCAATCATCTGGTAGGTGAAATCCCAAAGGAGTTCGGGAAGATGATATGTATGCTGAATTTGTCCTTGGCTAATAACCAACTTTCAGGTATTATACCTCCAGAGCTCGGATTTTTAGAACTCCTTGAAGTACTCGATCTATCTGCAAATAGATTGATTGGGTCAATACCAAAAAGTATTAGTCAATGGGAACATATCCACTACTTGAATCTTAGTAATAACATGCTCGGTGACAAAATTCCATCTGAGATTGGCAAATTAGTTCAACTTACAGAAGTTGATTTATCTCAGAATTTGCTCACTAAAGAGATACCATTTGAAGTTCAAAGTTTGAAAAATCTACAAAAGTTGAATCTTTCTCACAATAGACTATTTGGTTCTATTCCTAACGCTTTTACAAGTTTGCCCAATGGGATTGACATCGACCTGTCCAAAAATGAGCTCACAGGTCCAGTTCCGCTTTGCTCCAACTTTTTGAATGCATCCTTACAAGGCAATCCAGGTCTGTGTGGTAATTTTACAGGACTAAAATTTTGTGCAAATCAAATCTCGAAGAAGAAAAATGATCCCATTCATCATCAACTCATCCTTGTAATTATGCTCCCTCTTATCGGGGCAACTTTACTTGGTTTTGTCATGTGTGGCCTCATTGCTTATCGAAAACAAAAGAGACATTCTCCACAGAAACCATTGGATAATGAAGGTGGTGGTTACTTCTCCATAACAAATTTTGATGGAGGAGTAGCGTATGATGACATCTTGAAAGCAACGGACAATTTTGATGAAGCATATGCTATTGGGACCGGAGGATATGGGACTGTGTACAAAGCCCAGCTACAACCTAACAATGTGGTAGCTGTCAAGAAACTTCACTCATCATCATCTGAGAATGTTGATCAAAATGGATTCCTTAATGAGGTACGAGCATTAACGAACATAAGGCATCGAAACATAGTGAAACTTTATCGATATTGCTCACATGCCCGCCACTCGTTTTTGATTTATGAGTACCTTGAAAAGGGAAGCCTTGGATCAATCTTAAGAAGTGATGTCTTAGCAAAAGAATTGGATTGGTTGAAAAGGGTCAATATTGTAAAGGCTATAGCTAATGGTTTGGCTTATATGCATCACGACTGCTCACCTCCTATAATTCATAGAGACATTTCCATTGCCAACATCCTTCTTGATTCCGATTATAAGGCTGTAGACAAATCGACTACAATAAATAATCGATAACTTCAAGATCGAAGTATAAAAAACCCAAATATCACGATAGCGATTCAACGGAATATAAAACTATTTGAATAATCAACCAAGAATAAATCGAACGATAAAAAGAAAAAAACACGCGATATTTACGTGGAAACCCAAATCGGGAAAAACCACGGGCGGAGGAAGCCGAGAACCAATTTACTATAATATTCAGTGTTTACAGAGATAGAGGAAAGAAAAACAAATATATCAAACATATATTTGTATGAATATGAGAGAAAGATGAAGATGTAATTTGAGGTGTGGTGTTTTTAATAAGCTTGGTTTCATTTCCTTTTATAGGCAAATGAATGTATGAATTCAATTGTCTATTACCATCCAAGCTTGACAAACATGCTACCATCCATTCTTGACAAACATGCTACCACCCATTCTTGACAAATTAAAACCACATGTGTAGAATGGTATTCTAGAAATCATCCAATGTTGAAGTTTGAAGGAAACTTCCACAATCTCCACCTTGACTTCAAATGAGACAGGATGAAAAAACTTTAACTTGCACAATGATCATGCAAAACAGTTTATCAACAGCTCATCATACTCCAAATCTCTATAAGAATCTGCAAACACCATATGAGAAAAAATTGATTTCGAAAAGTAAATATACTTCCTCCACCACGAGCCTATCAGGCTCAAATGCGATCTGAAACACCCACCAAATCCAAACATGCTTTGAATTTGGCTATTGGAAGACTTTTAGTGAACATATCAGCAGGATTATCATTGGTGCTGATCTTGTTTACTGTAATATCGCCTTTAGCAATAACATCTCTGATGAAGTGATAACGAACATCAATATGCTTCGTTCGATCATGGAACATTTGATCCTTCGTCAGAAATATTGCACTTTGATTGTCACAAAAAACAGTGTTAACAGATAACTTGTTTGAAAGCTCACCTATCAACCGTTTCAACCAGAGGGCTTCCTTCACTGCTTCCGTAGCAGCCATGTATTCGGCTTCAGTGGTGGATAACGCTACAGTAGATTGTAACTGCGCTTTCCAGCTAACTGCGCAATCACCCAAAGTAAACACGTACCCTGTAATCGATCGTCTTTTATCCAAGTCCTTTGCATAATCGGAATCCACATAACCAAGTACTCCATTATCGGTTTTTCCAAACCGCAGACATAAAGAGGAAGTACCTCGCAAGTAGCGAAAAATCCATTTAACAGCAACCCAATGCTCCTTTCCTGGATTCGCCATGTATCTGCTCACCATGCTTACCGCATATGACAAATCTGGACGTGTACAAATCATAGCATACATAAGAGATCCTACAGCGCTGGAGTATGGTACCTTTGCCATGTATGCTATATCTTCTTCGGTGGTAGGACTTAAGGCGGATGATAGCTTGAAGTGGGCTGCGAAAGGAGTGCTGACTTCTTTTGCGTCATGCATATTGAAACGGTGCAGAACCTTCTCAATGTAGCTTTGTTGAGAAAGGTATAGAGTTCTTGCACTACGGTCTCGCACTATTTCCATTCCTAGAATTTTCTTGGCAGCACCCAAGTCCTTCATATCGAACTCAGCATTCAACTGGTCTTTTATCTTTTGAATCTCCTTTATATTCTTCGCTGCAATTAACATGTCATCCACGTATAAAAGTAGATAGACCATTGAACCATCGTCACACTTTTTGTAGTAAACGCAGCTGTCGTAGGTGCACCTTTTCAGCTTGTGACTGGTCATAAATGAGTCAAACCTTTTATACCATTGTCGAGGAGATTGCTTGAGGCCATAAAGAGACTTCTTCAATTTGCACACGTAGCTTTCCTTGCCAGGAGCTACAAAACCTTCAGGTTGTTGCATATATATCTCTTCCTCAAGCACACCATTTAAGAATGCTGTAGTAACATCAAGTTGCTCTAATTCATAGTCATGAGAGGCAACTAATCCCAACAAGACACGTATTGACGTGTGTTTCACAACCGGAGAGAAAATGTCGGTATAATCGATACCTGGGATTTGACTGTAGCCTTTGGCTACCAAACGAGCTTTATATCTTGGTTTGTCACCAGGGTGGATAGCCTCCTTCAACTTGTAGACCCATTTGCACTTAACTGTCTTCTTACCCTTTGGAGCTGGAACGAGATCCCATGTGCCATTTTTCTGAAGAGATTCCATCTCCTCGTGCATGGCAACCATCCACTTATTAGAATGTTTGGATTGAATGGCCTCGTTGTAGCTTGTGGGCTCCAGAACAGACTCAACTTCATTGGCAACTGTAAGTGCATAAGCGACAGAATTGGCTTGAACATATCTCTTTGGAGGTACAATCTGTCTGCGAGGTCTATCTCTTGCAATGGAGGGACTGTGAGGTTGGCTTGGAGCTTCGGCTGGCTCATGAGAAGAGGAATGTTGATTATTCGAGGGTTGAGAAACCTCGACACCTTCATGAGACTGGTCCTCGAAAGATGAATTTAAAGGAAACTCCACCTCCACTCGAACTTTGTCTTTTTCCGAATTTTCATTTTCTCTGGTCTGAATGTTGGAGACAGGATGAAGCATGGCTTTTTCATCGAAGGTCACATCTTTAGATGTCAAAACCTTGCTTAGCTCCGGGCTCCATAATTTGAACCCTTTAACACCTGTCGGATATCCGAGAAAGACGCATTTAATTGCCCTCGGTTCCAATTTACCGTTATCAACTCGGGCATATGCTGGACATCCAAATGGAATCAATTTCGTGTAATCAGCAGGTTGGCCGGACCAAAGCTCAAATGGGGTCTTCTTTTGAATAGCACGAGAAGGGGAACAGTTGATAATGTAGCATGCGGTTGAAGCGGCCTCGGCCCAAAAAGACTTCGGCAACTTCGAATGAGATAGCATGCATCGGACCTTCTCCATGATGGTGCGGTTCATACGTTCCGCTACGCCGTTCTGCTGTGGTGTATGAACTACGGTGCGATGCCTCGTAATTCCTTCCCTACGGCAATAGGAGTTGAATTCTTCAGAACAAAATTCCAGTCCATTATCAGTACGAAGGTATTTCACTTCAAAACCTGATTGCTTTTCAACCAATACTTTCCAATCTCTAAAAGTTTGGAATACTTCTCCCTTTGACTTCAAGAAGAACGACCATACCTTTCTTGAGAAATCGTCAATGATCGTGAGCATATAAGAGGCTCCACCTTTCGATGTAACCTTCGCTGGTCCCCATAAATCAGAGTGTATGTAGTCAAGTGGCCCTTTCGTCGTATGTTTGCCACCGATAAAACTCACTCGCTTCTGCTTTCCAAATACACAATCTTCACAGAATTCAAGTTCGATTGATTTGTGCTCCCCGAGCAACCCCCTTCGACTTAGTTCATTCATACCATGGTATGACATGTGAGCGAGCCTGAGGTGCCATAGACGAGAGCGATCAACGTTGGAGAGGGATTTAGAACATACCGAGACTTCGCCGGAGATAACTTGCCCATCCATAATGTAAAGGTTTGCGGATTTTCTAACTCCTCGGATGACCACAGAACCTTCCTTGAAAATATGGAGTTTCCCGTCTTTGCCAACAAACTCGTAACCTTTCTTCTCGAAAGTACCGAGACTTAGTAAATTTCGCCTAAGACCGGATACGTGCTTCACATCTTGAATCGTTCGAACAACGCCATCGAACATGCGGAACCTGAGTGTACCCCGTCCAATAATACGACACGAAGTGTCGTTACCCATTAGAACGTGCCTTCGTTAACCTTTTCATATGAATGAAAAACGCTTCGGTTGGAGCTCATATGAAAAGTACACGCTGAATCAAGTACCCACTCACTCGTGGTCATTAAACCGTAGTCTGAAACGGATAGAAGCTCGCCATCGGAACCAGTTTCGGCAACATCGGCTTCAACGGTGTTATTGGTTGTTTTTCCCTTTGCGATTGCTTTGCTTTCTCCTTGTTCTTTAACTTGAAACATTCATCGATCAGATGTCCCTTCTTGTGGCAATAATTGCAATACTTGCGATTGGCTTTGGACTTAGATCTAGATCGGTTTTGTGAAGAGCTACCTCTCTCGTTAGGTCTCCCTCTGATGTTGAGACCTTCGGCTTTAGAATCGCTGCTACTGTTCCCAACTATCTGCTTCATCTTTTCCTTTGAATCAAGAGCAGTCATTACCTCGTCAAGGACAAGAGTGTCCCGAGAATAGATAATGGTGTCACGAAAGTGATCGTAGGAGTCTGGGAGAGAAGATAATAAAAATAACGCCAAGTCTTCATCTTCGTATTTGACGTCCATATTCTCCAGATTTCCTACAAGCTCTTTAAAGGTAGAGAGGTGATCAGACAAAGAACTACCTTCACCCATCTTTAGGTTAAAAAGTCGTTGCTTCAAGTGTAGCTTGTTGGGCAAGCTTTTCGTCATAAGTAGCTGCTCGAGTTTTAGCCAGAGAGCCGCTGCGGATGTCTCTTTCAACACATCTTGGAGAACGTCGTTAGAAAGATGCAGACGGATCTGCGACGACGCCTTCAGATCTTTCATCTCCTTTTCCTCAGTCGACCAAGTTGCCGACATTTTCTCCATTCCTAATAGTGCTTTGTGGAGATCCATTTGGATCAACACATCTTTCATCTTTACTTGCCAGAGAGGGAATCTTGTGTTTCTGTCAAGTAAAGGAATATCGTACTTCATCGATGACATGGTTGAAAATAGTTTTTACGAATCGTTATCGGAAAACCCGGATAGCTCTGATACCAATTGTAGACAAATCGACTACAATAAATAATCGATAACTTCAAGATCGAAGTATAAAAACCCAAATATCACGATAGCGATTCAACAGAATATAAAACTATTTGAATAATCAACCAAGAATAAATCGAACGATAAAAAGAAAAAAACACACGATATTTACGTGGAAACCCAAATCGGGAAAAACCACGGGCGGAGGAAGCCGAGAACCAATTTACTATAATATTCAGTGTTTACAGAGATAGAGGAAAGAAAAACAAATATATCAAACATATATTTGTATGAATATGAGAGAAAGATGAAGATGTAATTTGAGGTGTGGTGTTTTTAATAAGCTTGGTTTCATTTCCTTTTATAGGCAAATGAATGTATGAATTCAATTGTCTATTACCATCCAAGCTTGACAAACATGCTACCATCCATTCTTGACAAACATGCTACCACCCATTCTTGACAAATTAAAACCACATGTGTAGAATGGTATTCTAGAAATCATCCAATGTTGAAGTTTGAAGGAAACTTCCACAAAGGCGCATATTTCTGATTTTGGCACATCCAAGCTTTTAAAGCTAGACTCATCCAATTGGACTGCAATTGCAGGGACCTATGGTTATATCGCACCAGGTAACGTAATCATGTGATTGTAGTTCTACATTTTCATAGAATCATGTGAGGTTGATATAACTTTTTTTGTCTTATGTTACTTTGGATGTAGAGCTTGCTTATACGATGGTGGCAACCGAGAAATGTGATGTGTATAGCTTTGGGATTGTTGCACTAGAAGCGATCATGGCAAAGCATCCCGGTGAACTGCCAACATTGTCTGCTGATTATCTGGTGTTAGCAAATGTTGGAGATAGTCGGATTCCACTTCCTTCACCACAAGTTGAGAAACAAGTAAATTTCGTACTCAGTCTCGCAAGAGCATGTTTGAACTCAAATCCAAAAGAAAGGCCAACGATGCGCCAAGTTTCAAATCTGTTTATGAAGGATCTGCTTTGAATTGATATCTCTGGTTGCCTGATATTGTGTAATTCCAATGTGTAATTTTCTTAAGTTTCCTATTATGTGTCTTTGATTAGTTTGAATGCCTAATAGTTAAAAACCTTTTCATATGTTTTATAGGACCCTGTAGAATACTGTGTATGTGATCGTGTTTGAACAAAGAATTTACCGATAATTGCTTCAAAATTGTCACAGTTTTGGGCGCCTCTGTTATTTCACTTGTGGTTTATATATACATGAAAATAGGAAAATATATCAAATACAAATGATAATTTTTCTACTCAAATACAAATATCAATAAAGTTTTAAACAATATATACTGAGACACAATCTCAAGTTACAAAAACCAATAGAGTAAAATTACAAGATGCAAGGCATCCATCATACACTTGACCTGATGCAATAATATTTTTTCTCCAATGCACATCAAATGGATATAGACCCAAATATAGAAACCAATAGAGTTTTTCATTATACATACAAAAGTAATTACATATTCTGTTGGTATCAGTTGCAATTAATCTTAACACTAAATAAAAAAACTTCTAACAGTTATATGTTGAAGAATCTTAAATAGTTTATGTTGGTTCTTAAGCAATGTTCTACATCAGCCTTTTCTGTATGCTCACTCAAATGGCAGACAACTCAGACAATGTTGGAGTGTTATTTAATTATTTCATATTTTCTGCAGCTGCTCAATGAAATTAGTATTTTGTTATCACCCTGAACTAATCTTATCATAAGAGGCTAAGAGGTTACTGATTTAGTACCTTATACAAAGAGGCTTTTTTTTAATATGAAAAATTAGCCAAACAAGATTTTACCAGTTAAGTACTTGTCTCCTGTAAATGTTCATTGTTTTAAAACACTCTACGAAACCACAACACTGCACTATGAACAAACCATACAATGAATGAAGCATTAAATTCAAAAATCCATTCAGGCATTTCATCAAACAATTGTTATGCACTATAATCACATTTTTTGAACAAGCATGTGCTAGTGAACCTAAATACGTTTTAATCGATATCCACTTCAATGATGAGAAAGAAGACGAGCGAAGAAACCAATACATACGTTTTATTTGATATCCACCTCAACGATGATCATTATCAACACTTCAATCACTCTGCTTCAACTATGGAAATGGATTTACACCATTATAAAATCACCAATCTGTTTTAAATTAAAATATTTTCTGCGATTTGGTAGTGATTTCTGATGGATTAAAAACAATTTGTGTAATCGATGAAGTATTTTAATGATTTGGTTGTGGTTTCTGTAATTGGGACTTGGGAGTAGAGTAGCGACAGAGGTAATGGAATGTGGGTATTGTCAAATAAAATATTACTACAAATATATATGTGTTGTTTATCTGTCTGTATATCCGTTTTGATGGCTAATAAAAAAAGTGAAATATAACACTTGTTCGTTGCCTGTGTTTGTTGTGTACTTGTGTCTGAATATGTGTGTCCTTAGAAAATATAAAGAATGAAATAATAAATATTCCTATTTGTATAGATAATACTAAATAAATGGGTGTTGATTTGTTTTTCAAACTTAAATAGACTTTTAAATGAGTGTGCTTTGATAATTTGAATTTGTGAAATAATAATTATGGTTACACGTCAATGTTTACTGAAAATTAATGGTGTGGACCAAAATTTGCAATTTGTCAAACAAATCCGACAACTTACAGATCCACATTACTATTGATTTGTCCTCAAATATATTAAATGGCTCGATACCAAGAAGTGTTGGTAATTGGACACACATCTACAACTTGAATCTTAGAAACAACAAGCTCATTCATAGAATTCCATCTGAGATTGATAAATTAGTTCAGCTTACAGAACTTGATTTATCTCAGAATTTGATCAAGGAAAAGATACCATCTGAAGTACAAAGTTTGCAAAGTTTGCAAAAATTGAATCTTTCACACAATATACTATCTGATTCTATTCCTGATGCTATTAAAAGTTTGCCTCGTGGGACTGATATCGACTTGTCTTACAATGAGCTCACAGGTCCAATTCCCACTAACACTAACTTTCTGGATGTGTCATAGAAGGCAACCTACGTTTGTGTGGAAATTTTACAGGACTAAAATTTTGTGCAAGTCTAATCTCGAAGAAGAAAAATGATCCCTTTCATCATCACCTCATCTTTGTAATTATGCTCCCTCTTATCGGGGCAATTTTACTTGGTTTTTTCATGTGTGGCCTCATTGCTTATCGAAAATGAAAGACACATTCTCCACATAAACCATTGGACAAAGAAGGTGGTGATTATTTCTCCATAACAAGCTTTGATGGAGGAGTAGCGTATGATGACTGCTAACCGATATGATAAGAAGATAATATAGAATAGTTTAAATTATAAGATAATAACTATCTGTTGTAATCTTATCATGTATTGGTTGTATATATATATATATATATATATATATATATATATATATATATATATATATATATACCTATGGGTTTTGTGTGGCAAATATTCTGTTTCACTATGTCATCTTTAAAGAAACGAATGATTTTGATGAAGCATACTCTATTGTGAACGGAGGATATGGGACTGTGTACAAAGCCGAGCTACAACCTAACAATGTGCTAGCTATCAAAAAAATTCACTCATCATCTGAGAATGTTGATCATAATGGATTCCTTAATGAGATACAAGCATTAACGAACATAAGGCATCGAAACATAGTGAAACTCTATGGATATTGCTCACATGCCCGCCACTCATTTTTGATTTATGAATACCTTGAAAAGGGAAGCCTTGAATTAATCTGAAGAAGCGATGTCTTAGCAAAAGAATTGGATTGGTTGAAAAGGGTCAATATTGTAAAGGCTATAGCTAATGGTTTGGCTTATATGCATCACGACTGCTCACCTCCTTTAATTCATAGAGATATTTCAATATCCAACATCCTTCTTGATTTTGATTATGAGGCATATATTTCTGATTTTGGCACGTCCAAGCTTTTAAAGCTAGACTCATCCAACTGGACCACAATTGCAGGCACATAAGGTTATATCGCGCCAGGTAACGTAATCTTGTGATTGCAGTTCTACATGTTCTTTAGTTTCATGAAATTTGTATATGTGCATATATGTATTTATATTAGAATCTTGTGGGATTGATATAATCTTTTTTTGCTTTTACTTTATGTTTCTTTGGATACAGAGCTTGCTTATGCGATGGTGGAAACTGAGAAATGTGATGTGTTTAGCTTTGGGATTGTTGCACTAGAAGTGATCATGGGAAAGCATCCTGATGAACTACCAACATTGTCTGTTGATTGTTGATTATCTGGTGTTGGCAAATGTGGGAGATAGTCGGATTCCACTTCCCTCACCACAAGCTGAGAAACAAGTTAAGTTGGTGCTGAGTCTCTCAAGAGCATGTTTGAACTCCAATCCGAACGGAAGACCAACAATGCGCCAAGTTTCAAATCTGTTGATGAAGGATCTGCTTTGAAATGACATTTGTTGTCCAATCGATATAGTGTACTTTCAATGTTCTTTACTTCCAGTAACTTCTGTCCCACTACTTAGCATTTAAGATTTCAGTTTTGTTTTTGGTATCTGTTACTTAATTTCAAATAAGTGGTCCATGATTACCCATAAATTAGTATTAGCATTTGCTTATTTCTAGCTTTGTCAGTTTCTTTTTTTTTTGGTATTTATATGGTTGTGTACTCAATCAAATATGGGCAGCATATCCAATAATAAATCTCTTCACAACAAGTTGTTCTTTGGTTTTTTCCTGTTCTCCCTGTTCTGTATCAGAATTTCTTGTTTAAGTCCTTTTTTCTTCCAACAAAATTGGTATCAGAGCCGGTACAATGACAAGAAATGGTACAAGTTCTACATCACAGACATTGATTCAAGTTTTCAAGTGGGAGAAGTACCACCTTTGGAGTCTCAAAATGAAGACAATGTTGAAGTCCCAAGAGCTATGGGATTTGGTGGATAATGGGTATGCAGAACCAAACCCAGCAGCAGCAGAACCAGATCAGCAATTACGAGGAACTCGAAAGAAGGATGTAAAGGCTTTATTCTTCATCCAATCAGCATTGGATGATGAGTTTTTTCCACGTATTGCAAGAGCAGCAACCTTGAACCATGGGCAATTCTGAAACAAGAATTTCTTGGTGATCAAAAAGTCATCATTGTCAAACTACAATCTCTTCGTCGTGAATTCGAGATCTTGGGCATGAAAGAGAAGGAAAAGGTGCAGTTTTTTCTTTCGAGAGTGTCTGAAATTGTCAGCCACATGAGGTCATACGGTGAAAATGTTAGCAATGAAACTGTAGTCGGTAAAGTTTTAAGGAGTTTAACCAAGGATTTCAATCATGTCGTGGCTGTAACTGAGGAAACAAAGGACATGTCCACGTATACTTTTCATGAACTAATGAGTTCATTGATAGTGATGAACTAATGAGTTCATTGATAGCTCATAAATATAAAGATAGGATGAACAGGTGTTGTGAGAAAGTCGACGAGAAGGCGTTTCAAACAACTGGAGATCAGAATAAACGAAGTGCAGAAAGTTCATGTGGTCGTGGACGAGGAAGTGGTGGATTTCGTGGTCATGGCAGAGGAAGAGTTCAGTTTGGTGATCAATGTCAACATAAAAACATCCCTCGATGTCAAGATTGCAATAAACTTGACCATAGAGAAGCTGATTGTTGGAACAAGGAGAGAGAAGAATAAAATCCTCAATGTTGATATTGTAACAAACTTGGCTACAAAGAAGTTAATTGCTGGACCAAGATACAAGAATAACAAAAACATGCAAACTTTTCAGAAAAAATAGAAGAGGAAAGCAAGCTATTCAAGGCACATTCTTCCATAGTTGATACGTCTAATGGTGTGTGGTTTCTGGACAACGGATGTACAAACCATATGACAGGAACAAAGTCTTTGTTTAAAGAGCTTGATGAGACTCAAAAGGGTGTAGTTCATTTTGGAGACGACAATGCATTGCAAATTGAAGGACAAGGTACAGTTTCCATCAAAACCACTCAAGGTAATGCAAAACTTCTTCATGATGTGCAATATGTTCCTAAATTAGCCCATAATTTGCTAAGTGTTGGGAAATTAATGTGTTCTGCATATTCAGTTACTTTTAATGATGGGTATTGTTTAATTAGAGACAAAAAATCTGGTCAGCCCATTGCTAACATTCCAGTGACACAAAATAGAATGTTTCCACTTAAAATTTCAACCATGGAGAAGTGTGCTTTAGTTGCTACTAGTGAGTCAAGCATTTTGCATCTACGTTATGGCCAATTAAATATAAACGGGTTGAAATTGTTTCATCAGAAAAATATGGATTTTTTAGGGAGCCGAAAATCGTTTCCTGCAGGTAACTCGAAAATTAGTGCATATCGAGTGGATCTTTTCGTTGGCGGTAGTCGCTATTTCTTATTGTTTATAGATGATTACAACCATATGAGTTGGGTATACTTCTTAAAAAATAAGTCAGAGACCTTTGATTGCTTCAAAAAATTTAAGGCTTTGGTAGAGAAAAAGAATGGGAATAACATAAAAGTTCTTCATTTCGATAATGGTGGCGAATTTACCTCACGAAAATTTAATGAATTTTGTGAGTTTAATGGTATTCGTAGGGAATTTATAGCACCACACACTCCAGAAAAGAATGGAGTAGCAGAACGAAAAAACCGAACCAATGGTGACATGGCAAGAAGCATGATGGCAACAAGAAATCTTCCAAAAAAATTATGGGCCGAAGGCGTTGCAGCTGTTGTATACATTTTGAACACCTCGCCTACAAAGGTTGTTCTAAATCGAACACCCTATGAAGCATGTAAAGGTAGAAAGTCGTAAGTAAGTCACTTAAAAATCTTCGGGTGCATTGCTTATGCATTAGTCACATCATCTCGCACCAAGCTTGATCGAAAGTCAGATAAATGCATTTTCATTGGCTATTCTACTTCTTCAAAGGCGTACAAGTTATTTAACCTGATTAGTGAAAAAATTATTATAAGCATGAATGTTGATTTTAATGAGGCAGAACAATGGAGTTGGAAAACATCGGCTTCAAAAAACTCACCAGAATCTGTTCCTGTTCCTGTAACATTTGAGGGAAGTAACTTCACAAATCCAGAAACGAGCAATTCTTAAAATGGAGATAATGTTACACCACCTTCAACTCCACCTTCTTCACCATAAGGATCTTCTTCACCTTTAATCTCTTCATCTGAAAGTCCTCCAAAAAAGTTTTGATCACGGGAGGATATATATGCTTCATGTAGTTTTGCATTATATGCATCTGATCCTGATCCTATCTCTTATGATGACGCAACAGAGAAACAGGTGTGGCAAGATGCAATGAAAGATTAGATTGCGGCTATTAGAAATAATGAGACTTGGGATTTTGTTGATTTGCCCAAAGAAAAAAATGGCATAGGCCTCAAATGGGTGTACTGTACAAAATACAATGCTGATGGTACAATCCAGAAGCATAAAGCGCGTTTGGTTGTGAAAGGGTATTCTCAACAACACGGAGTCGATTACGAATAAACCTTTTCTCCGGTTGCTCGGTTCAAAACGGTTAGAATTTTTCTTTCCTTAGCCGCACAATTAAAATGGAAATGTAGCAATTTGATGTTAAATCGGCGTTTCTAAATGGAGAGCTAGAAGAAGTGGTGTATGTCTCTCAACCGGAAGGATTTTCATGTGGTGATGATAGCAAAGTGTACATGTTGAAAAAAGCCTTATACGGGCTTAAGCAAGCCCCCGAGCGTGGTATAGCAAGATAGATTCATACTTCTTAGAAAACGGATTTGATAGAAGTAAAAGCAAGAATACTCTCTATGTAAAAAAGCGAGGTAAAACTTATTTTTTAGTTGTCTGCATCTATGTAGATGACATTATTTATATAGGGTCGTGTGAATCTACTGTTGTTGAGTTCAAATCTTCGATGATTAAAATATTTGAGATGTCAGATATGGGCTTGTTAAGTTACTTTCTTGGCCTGGAGGTGAACCAATGTGATGATGGAATTTTTATTTGTCAAAAAAAGTATGCTACTGACTTGCTTAAACGATTCAATATGTTGAATGCGAATCTGTGTTTAACACGGATGAATATGAATGAATCGCTTGTTGCAAATGATGGCACAAAGTTGGCAAATGTGAAACACTTTAGGAGTATTGTTGGAGGCTTGAACTACCTAACTCACACCAGACCTGATATTGCATTTTCGGTTAGTAAAGTTTCAAGATTTATGCACAGTCCTTCATTTCATCATCTAGGAGCAGCAAAGAGGATTCTTCGCTATATAGCTGGAATCGCTGAGTTTGGGATTTGGTACTCAAATGTACCTAATCTAAAATTATATGGGTTTACTGTCAGTGATTGGGGTGGTTGTTTGGATGATCGAAGGAGCACCTCTAGTTATGTTTTTTTCTCTTGGTTTGGTTCAGGTGCTGTTTCATGGAGCTCAAAAAAGCAGGATATTGTAGCACTATCCTCATCAGAAGCGGAGTACATTTCAGCAACATTATCGGCTTGTCAAGTTGTGTGGTTAAGAAGGATACTTGTTGATCTTCTCCAAAAGCAAGTTGGACCAACAAAAATCTTTTGTGACAATCAAGCAACAATTGCAATGACAAAGAATTCATCCTTCCACAGCAGGACAAAACACATAGACATCCGTTACCATTTTATTCGTGATTTAGTTGCTGAGAAAGAAATCATTTTTGAAGCGTTGTGGAACTAATGAGCAAGTTGCAGATGTGCTCACAAAGTCTCTTCCAAGTGTCAAGCATAATTTCTTCAGGTTCGGTTTGGGAGTAACAAGTTTTAAAGCAAGGGGGTGTGTTCAATAATGGTGCTCAAAACTTCCAGTAGCTTCTATCCCACTACTTAGCATTCAAGATTTCAGTTTTGTTTTTGGTAGCAATTACTTAGTTTCAAATAAGTGGTCCACGATTACCCATAAATTAGTATTAGCAGTTACTTATTTCCAGCTTTGTCAGTTTCTTTTGTTTTTGGTATTTATATGGTTGTGTACTCAATCAAATGTAGGCAAAATATTGAATAAGAAATCTCTTCACAACAAATTGTTCTTTAGTTTGTTCCTGTTCTCCATGTTCTGTATCAAAATTTCTTGTTTAAGTCCTTTTTTCTTCCAACAGTTGGCAAATGTGGGAGATAGTCGGATTCCACTTCCCTCACCACAAGCTGAGAAACAAGTTAAGTTGGTGTTGAGTCTCTCAAGAGCATGTTTGAACTCCAATCCAAATGGAAGACCAACAATGCACAAAGTTTCAAAT